GCCCCGTTTGTGGTGGCACCCAGGGGCTGGGATCCCCTTTGTGTCCTGGTGCTGGCAGCTGGTGGAAATGTCCCCGCGTGCCGCGAGCTGCAGGGATGCCACGGAGCAGAGGGGACACGGCAGGGCCACCCCTGGGGACACGGGGAAACTGAGGCACGCTGGGGACTCCAGTAGCGCGTCCTCCCCCACCAGCAGGACCCCAGCCCTGGCCTGGAGCTGCTGGGGGGCACCCAGGGGTCCTGGGGGGGATGGCAGAGGCAGGGTGGGGCAGAGGGACGAGGGGCACGAGCAGAGCTTCATCCCCTCCCACTCCCCCCACCCCCATTTGGAGCCCCCAACACTCCCCCCAGCCCGCGACGAGGAAGCTGCAAAATTAGGTCAAAGCGTCCATTATTTAACAGAAACAGAGGAGCCAGGGCCAGCAGCTGAGGCTGGGGCTGGAGCCCAGGAGAGGGGCTGGGGAGGACAGGGCTGGGTCCCCACAGCCCTGGGGCAGGCAGGGATTGGGGGAACGGGGGTGAAACACGGGGGACAGGAGCCAAAGCTGAACCAAAATGACTTTATTTCATGGCAGAAGATAAAAGGATCCCCCCTGTCCTTTCCCCTCAGGGGTCCCTGCCCTCCCTGTGCCACTGCCAGCAGCCGGACCCAGAGCAGGGCTGGCACTGGGAGGATTCTCCCTGCAGCCAGAGTGCTCAAGAGGTTCCAGAGAGCCCCAGAAAGAGCTGGGAGCAAAGATGGTCCAGGATTCATGGCAGGAGCAACACCAGAGCTCAGCATCACACACCAGGGTGGCAATGGGGACCAGGAGCACCCCACTCCCTGCAAAAGGACTGGGGGGGGCACAGAGGGGCTGGGGGGTGTCCCAGCCTCCCCCCTAAGCTCCCACCACGCAGCAATTACAACATAACATTAATAATATTATTACATTAAAATATTAATAAAAAGACCCCAGACTGCCAGCCCCCGGGGCAGAACTTGACAAATGCCCAAAAACCTTGGGAACCACTCGTCTGCTCTTGCCACAGCAGCAAAATCCCCCCTGGGGCCACGGGGAGGGGGGTCAGTGCAGCCCCCGGGCGAGGATGCTGCCCACCAGCGCCGTGTCCTGCAGCCTGTGCTCCAGCACTGCCTCCTCCAGCGTCAGGGAAACCTGGCAGGGGGGAACAGGGGTGCTCAGCACCGTGCTGCCACACCCTGGCGCCATGCCCCAGCGCTGCCACCAGCCCCTGCCCCACTACCTTGGCCAGCCGGGCCTCCTTGGCCCTCTTGAGCTCCAGGACACCGCGGGACTCCAGGAGGGTGACAAGGGACAGACACTCGGCCTGGTCGACGGCGGGGAGCTGCTGGCGCCGGCACACCTGGCTGTAGGTGTCGTGGAGCTGGGGAGGGCAGGGGTGGGTTAGACCACAGCAAAACCCCCAAGGGGACACCCCGGGGACACCCTGAGAGGGTCCCAGAGCCACTCACCTTGCCCAGGGTCACCTCACGGGTGCGTGAGTGGCGGGCCAGCAGGAGCAGGGAGCAGAGCAGCACCTTCTGCTGCAGAGGGAAGGTGTCCTGGGAGCCCCGGGGCCCCCCTGCCAGCCTGTCCCCAAACACCTCCGAGAGCACCCGGGAGATGTGCAGGAGTCCCACGCGCTTGGGGACAGGGGACACCGGGGAGTCACCTGTGGGACGGAGAGAGGGGATGCCAGGGAGGTGAGAACAGGCAGGTGCCCCACAGAGGGAGCCCAGGGTCACACCGAGGTGACCCCACAGGGTTTTGGCTCTGGCAGAGGCTTGAGCAGGGTCTGACTGGGGACTCCAGGACTCACCCCCGGGCAGAGGCTTCAGCAGGGTCTGGCTTCGCACCTCCAGCTCCACAACCTCCACAGCACGCCTGGGGAGGGACAGCCCTGAGTGCCAGGCAGAGCGGGCACCCCTGGCACCAGCAGGGAAGCTGTAGAGACTCACAGGGACCAATCTGTCCCTGGCAGCACTGGGTTTTGGGGCACACACTGACCTACAGACGTCCAGGGCCTTGCGGGCATCACCGGACACTGCAGAGACCTTGCGGGCACAGAACTGGAGTGCAGCAGAGTCCAGCACGGGGTCACCTGCCACCTGTGAGGCACCAGGGCTGTCAGTGCTGCCACCCGCGTGGGCACAGGACCCTGTGTCCCCCCGCTCTGTGCTCCCCGTGTCCCCACCTGTCCCAGCCGCTCCTGCAGGATGAGGGTGAGCTGCTCCTTGGTGTAGGGTGGGAAGTGCAGCAGTTGGGGCCTGCCAGCCAGCTGGGCTCCCAGCCTGGCCAGGCTCCTGTCTGTCAGGTCCAGGGCATTGGCCAAGCCTGCAGGGCGAGAGGAAGAGGAGGATGAGGGCTGTTCTCCAAGGAGGGAGCAGGAGGAGGCTGCAAAGGGAAGTCTCCCAGGGCAGCAGTGCACCCTCCTACACCCTGCACACTCACCCACGAGGACGAGCCTGGAGCTGGGCAGCTGGGGCCACTCAAAGAGGGTGTAGAGCACGTCCTGGCCTTTGCTCTCCAGCTGGTCCAGCTCATCCAGCACCAGGAGGCTGTGGGAGAGCTCAGATCAACCCCTGCTCTGTCCCCTCACAGCACTCCCAGCAGGGAGAGCAGAGCTGCTGCCAGCCTGCCTCTCCTGGCACCCGGGGGAATCCCACTCCACCCACCAGAGCCAGGGAACTCACACCATGGGCCCCCTGGCTGTCAGATGCTTCTCCAGGCTCCGGACACGCTCCCGGCCAGCGGCCATGGGCAGCCCCAGCTGCTGTGCCAGGGCAGGGAAGACGCTGTGGGGGCTGCCCAGTGCCATGCAGTTCAGCACCACCGTCCTGCTGCCAGCCAGCTTGTCCTGCCAGGATTGGGAGCGTTACACTGGGCCCATCCCGCTGCCCCACAGCAGCCCCACGGCCTGGCCACGGCACACACCTTGCAGTCGAGCAGAACACGGCTCAGACAGGCTGTTTTCCCAGTGCCAGGGGCTCCGGACACGTAGAGGCTGCCGGGACGGCGCCCCAGGACGTGTTCCAGCAGGAACTGCCGGAGCACCCCCGTCTCCTGCTCCCTGCCCTGCAGCCGCTCGGGCACGGCCGCGTGCAGCACCTGCTTGGCCTGCTGGTAACAGGTACCTGCACAGGGAGCAAGAGCACTCAGGGAGGGAGGAGGCACTGCTGGGACCCCATCCCAGCTGATCACCATCCCCATCCACGCCCTCATCCCCATCCCTGCCTTCATACCCATCCGTAGCTCCATAGAGCCATCCCTAACCCTGGCTCCATCCCCATCCTCAAATCCCCATCCCCATCCCTGCCTTCATATCCATACCTAGCTCCATGTAGCCATCCCCAACCCTGGCTCCATCCCCAACCCCATCCTTTCCTCCACCCTCAACTTGACCCCTATCACCACCCCTATCCATATTCCCAATCCTTATGCCTATCCCATCCCATCCATAACTCCATGCCCAGCGCTATCCACACTCACAATCCCATCCAGAACCCCATACCCAGCCCTGCCCACATTCATAACCCCATCCATAACCCCTGCCCACACTCATAACCCCATACTCAGCCCTATCCATGCTCATAATCCCATCCAGAACCCCATGCCCAGCCCTGCCCACACTCACAACCCCACGCCCACCTTCCTGCCTGAAGAGCCGGCTGCGTGCCTGCTGCCCGCTGAGCCCCGAGCTCCGAGGGGTCTCGGGCCCCCCGCTCCGTGGGGACGGCCCCGAGCCCTTGGGCTGCTCGGGGGAGGCCGAGGGGTCCCCAAAGAGCAGGCGGCGGCCCCGGTTCTCCTTGCTGCGTTTGGCCGGGGAGCAAGGTAAGGCATGGGGGACGTTGCACAGGTTGTCATCACCTGCGGGGACAACAAGCGGGTGGTGACAAAGGGCCACCCTCCCACTCTCCCTTTATGCTTCAGCCCCCGCCAAAAACCCTGCAGGAGCAACTTTTCCTCCCGAAATGGGAGGGTCCCGGGGGTGGGACTCACCCAGGCGTTTGCGGGGGCTCAGGGGCTGCGCTTTGGGGCTCAGGGGCTGCGCTGCGGTCCGGTCCGAGCGTGTGTCCGGGCTGGCCTGGCCGGAGGGTCCCGAGGCCTCGGAACGCGGCGAGGGGCGCGGAGCACGGCAGCCGGGGTCGCTCTTGGCCGAGGGGGCAGCGAGGAGTCGGGCGCTCCTGGTGCGGGGGAAGCCGATGGTGGGCTGCCTCTTGCTGCTGGCCATGGCGGGGGCTGCAGGAGAACCGCGGCCGGGTGAGAATGACCGCCAGCCCCGCGGCTCCCGGCCATCCCCTGCCCCCCAGTCCCGGTCCCCACCGCGCTGCCCCCGTCCCTGACCCCCCCTGTCCCCTCGGGTCCCCCCGCTGCCGCCACCGACCTTCTCGCGCCAAATCAGCCCCGGCTCCGCACTTCCCGCCACCAGGCCGAGCTGGCCCCGCCCCCTTCGCCCCATTGGCTACCCCGCTGCCGCCGCCGCCAATCGCCGCGGCCGGAGGAAGGACCGCAACGGAGCAGCCAATCAGCGAGCGCAGCCGAGGCGGGGCGGAAGGTGCCGAGCGCGGGGCGCGGGGCATGCTGGGAGATGTAGTCTGCCTGCGGGCACTCAGTGTCCCCCATGCTCCCAGGGCCCGCACTCCCATCCCCGCATTCCCCCCACTCCCAGTGACCCCAATTCCTCCAATATTGCTTTTTTACCACCGCCCAGTCTCGTCTCTCCGCGCTCCCAGCGCTCCCCACCCCTCCTCCCAGTATTCCCCACCACGCTTCCCCCATGCTCCCAGCGCCCACATGTGCCAATCCCCCTCCCCCTGCTCCCAGTACCCACAATCCTCATTTCCAGTGGTCCCAGTGCCACCAGTAACCCCGATCGTGCCTTCCTACTTCCGCTCTGTGCTCTCAATACCCTCCACGCTGTCTGCCACCCCTGCTCCCAGCCCTTGGGGCGTCACCTCCAAGAAAGACAAGGGGTTCCTGGGAACCTCCCCCTTAGACAGTGTCCTTGACATCATTAATCACTTTATTACTTTTATTTAAATGTAATTTCCAGCTCCTCCAAATTCCTCTGTTCCCTTTTAAAAGGGCCCCTCTCTCCAGGAGGGGCAGAACCGTTTTGAACCTTTATTTAACCCAAAGGGCAGCGCTGGGGGAGGGGGCTCATTCTCCAGAGAAACCCCCCACTCACCCCTCAAGCACCTCGCTCCAGCCTCAACAGGGGAAGGTCCATCATCATAGAAAAAAAAATCCCCTGAACGAGCCCCAAACCCGTGTGCAGGGGAGGCCCCCCTGCCCCTCCTGCTATGGTACAAAGAGATCAGTAACTACGTTAGTGGGACCCCCGCCGTGGGGCTGGGACCACCCCAGGACAGGGAGTGTAAGGCAAAACATCACCGGCCCCCAGGGCCCCCCCACGTGCCCCCTGGTGTGCCAGACCCAGCACAAACAGCTCCCCCCTCCATGTAATTAGTGTTTTCTTGTTAAAATGCTCAAGTTTTGGGGGCAGTCAGCAGTGAGAGCCAGGGGAATCCCCGGGGAGCAGTGGTTTTGAGGGGGGCAGGTGGGGGTGCCCCCCTGTGGGGTCAGAGAAAGGGGGTTGGGGTGTCCCTGCATGGTCCCACTCATGTTCCCCCCTTCCTCCACTGGCTCCTGTGCAAAAAAGCAATGGGCTGTGCCGGGGTAACAAGGTCCCACCAGGATAACGAGGCTGTGCCGGCCTGTCCCTGCTCCCCCTCGCTCTGGGGGGGGTCTCACAGCGTGTCCATCCCCTGCCTGACCCCAGCCCCCCTCCCTGAGCCCCCCTGGTCCCAACAGCCGGCGCACGGCTCGGCCTCAAGTCCCGTGCCCGGCTCCCAGGCAGATCCCGACCCAGGATCCGTGAGGAGGAGTGAGGGATGGACCCCTCCAGGGCGGCCACGAGGTCTCTGCCTCCCGGGGGGTGCACAGATGAGGCGGGGCTGGCAGGGGATCCGCTTGTCCTGGGAAAACCGGCGAGGCTGGGAGCGTGTCATGCAGGATCCGGGGCGCTGGGAGCTGGGGGGGTCCGGCTGAGGAAGGGGAAGGAGCTCCACGTCTCCGCTCTGGAACATTCCACCCGCACAGCCCGCTTTCACCTGGGGATGGGGGGCAGAGGGGGAGCCCCGCGCGTAGCTGGAAGAGAAGGAAGCCTGCTGGAAGCGGCAGCTCCGCAGAGCCGGATCCAGCACGGATCCAGCACGTCTGCTCTCCCTCCTCCACGCCCCCGCGCCAGCTGCCGGCCCCCCCGACCTCCCCGCGGAGATCTGGAGCCTGGGATTTGCGCCTGGCAGCAGCCGCTGCAGCCGCACCGAGCTCGGGGCTTTTCAAACCCGCATTAAACATTCATGGCTCTAAAAATAAACGAGCATCCCATTCTCCCCGGAGTCTCCGCCGGGATCCGCAGCGCTGACGTGCAGCACACCAAGGGCACTTTGAGCTCTGACGGGTCCCAGTGCTGCTGCTCGGGGCTGATCCTGGGGTACACAGAGGGTGTGCAGCCCCCCAGACCCTGCCCTGGCCGCGGGGTCCTTCGAGATCCCCTCCAGTGCCAAAGGTGCTCAGCAAAGGCAGGAATGAGCTCTGCAGCATTTCCCAGCAGGCAAAGCAGGTGGGACAGGGCATCCGCACAGCCCAAATTTCTCCCCTGCCTCACAGCACACAGAGCTTGAGACCCCAAGGAATGGGGCTCAGCACCCTCAGAACGCCAGCAGGGCCCAGGGCATGGCCACTGCCCCACCCCACCCTGTGCAGGGACAAACAGGACAGTGCCAGCCCCGAGGGCACAGGAGGGGACAGGGAATTTGGGACACCCTCCTCACCTCTGTTTGTTTTGCTGGGGTAGATTCTCTGGAAGTATTTATATTCCTCTGGGGCTGGGAAGTCTTCAACGGGATGAAAGGAGTATTTGGATTCAAAGTCATCTGTGAAGAAACAAAGGGGCAGGTGAGGGAGGGGGGCTCTGGGGGGAGCCTGGCCGAAGCCTGGCTCGGCTGTGAGGGGTGGGGGTCCCACTCACCCAGGAATGCTCTGACGGTGGAGATGGAGTCGCGGTGCCCGTTGCGCACGGGCGGCGGCGGCGGCGGGGGCCCGGCCGGGGTGCGGGTGGGGGGCGGCGGGGGCTTCCCCCGGCTGGGGGGCTCGGCGGGGCCGTGCAGTCTGTAGGGGGGCGGGGGCGGGGGGGCGTCGCGCCCTCCGTTCCGCAGCATGGGCGGCGGCGGCGGCGGAGCTGCAGGGACAGCGGGGTCAGCTTTCCCGGGGCAATCCCAGGGACATCCCCCGGAGCGTTCCAGGCCAGACCGTGGCCCGGGGATGCTCCTCGTGTGCCCGGAGATTTCCTGCTCGCTCCTGACATCTGCATTCCTCATCTCTCCACCAGCTGCAGTGCAGGGACCGGCCAGCCCTGCTGACCCATGGCTCACCATCCATCCCAGGGGCTGCTCCAGCCCCATGTGCTCCCTCCCAGCCCACTCTGCACCAGAGGGGATCCCAGGAGCAGCTACGATCCAAAGAGTCCAAGGGCAGCAGCTCCACACGGAGCCAAGATGCTGCCTGCCAGGACTGGAAGCCACATCCGCAGTGTCACCAAGGCAGTGACAGGACCCACAGCCCCTCTGACCCACCTCTCACTCCTGCCCAGCCTCCCGCAGAGGCTCCGTGGCAGTTCACGCTCCTCATTAGCCTAATTACACTCGAGCTGACAGCGCAGATCCCCAGCTGTAGCTCTGAGGAGGGATTCTGGCAGGGCCAGAAGGACGGAGCGGCTTGGCAGGGGCCCAGGCAGGAGCTGCGGTCTGGACGGGGAGCCCAGGAGTGCACGGGGGGGCACCAGGGCACAGCCAACACCAGTCCCAGCCACGGGGACACATTCCAGAGGGCTGCACACCCAGGGAAAGGCTTCTCCCTGCTCTGCCACAGCTTTTTGCACCCTTCCAGTGACATTTAGGAAGCTCAGGGGAGCTATGCTCTCACACATTGTCATCTCCCACCCCAGGAGAGCACGGGCAGGAGTTGCCCAGCTGCAACCCACCGCCAGCACCGTGCTTGGAAGGAGCTGGATGGTCATGGGACATGATCAAGGACATGTGTTAAATATGGCACTGCAATATCTGCCCCAGCTCAGCCCCATCACCACATGCAGAAGACTCACTGTGCCCCGAGGTCAACTCCTGCCTGTCACCTCCCACCCTGATCACCCCAGAGCGAGCAGCTCTTACCTGCTCCACGGCTCGGGGGGTCTCTGGCCGGCGGCGGGGGGCGGCCGCTCTGCAGGGACGGGGAGGCAGCAGCAGGCGGCGGCGGTGCCAGACCCCGCAAGGAGCCCGGCGCCTTCCTGTGCAAGGAGTTGTGTCTCTGCGGCAGCTCCGGGGCCGACTCGCTGCTGGGGCTGGAGGGGCCGTTGGGCACACCGGGGGGCTGCCGGTACGGGGGAGGTGGCGGGGCCAGAGACTGAGCGCCCGAGCGGAGGCTGACGGGGGAAGGAGGGGGTTTGATGGGCGGCGGGGCGGGGGGTCCGTCCCTGCCGCCGGGCAGGCGCTGTCCCGGGGTGGGCGGCAGCGGCTTCTCCCGGTTGTAGGGCGAGGCCTTGGCGTGCGCTGCAGGCGGGGCCGGGGGGGCGGCGGCGCGGCGGCCCGGCGGAGGGGGCGGCGGGGCCGAGGAGCTGTGCTTCATGCCGGTGCCACCGGCGGTGCCGGGCCGGGACAGGTCGGGCAGGGAGGGTCTCTGCGTGCGCGGCAGTTCCGGCGGGGACCCCCGGCTGCTGTCGGCATCGTCCTGAGGGCGGCTGTTGCTGGCCGGCACGGGGGGCCTGGGAGCAGCGGCTCGGGAGCCAGGGACTTGTAGTGTTTGTTTAGTGGAGCTGTCTGCGGGGAAGGAGAGCACAGTGAGGGGTTGGGGACAGCACGGGAGCAGTGCCCTGTCCCTGCACGAGGGCCAGGCCACAGGAACGGCCAGGGACGGCTGTTTGGCACACGCAGGGAGCTGGCACTGAGCACAGCCACACACAGCTCCTTCTCTCACCACTCTACTCTGTGGCTACCACAGAGAACACACAGAGTTCAGCAATACACGCAAATCCTGAGCTCTCCAAGAAGTCTGTGTGTGGGGCTGAGGCTTGGGGAGGGCACAGCTGGCCTGAGCCACTCATGGGATGTGATCTGGGGTCCCGCCTCTTGGCAGCTGAAATCCCCAGGGATACACAGTGACATCCTCCACCCCTTCCTGCTCAGGGCCCTCCCCAGGGACCCCCACACAGACGACGGGCCAGTGGCCATTACCTGAGCTGTCCTTGGCTGCCACAGGTCTGAGCTTGGGAACGCCGCCCTGGAAGAGGCCGCCCTTGGGCTGGATGGCAGCTGAGCCGGAGCCGTAGCTGCTGCCGCCGCTGCCCTTGGGCTCTGAAAGGAGGGAGGCAAAGAGGTTAAGCCTAGAATTATCGGCTCCTCCAATGAGGAGCTGCTGGGAACCAGATGGGCAAGCGCCCTGAAGGGTATGGCAGCGCCCAGCGTGGGGCCGGGAGCCTCCTGGGGACTCACTTTCTAGGATGGGTGCACTCCGGTCATTGATTTGGGTCACTTTCCTGAGCTTGGTCCCTTTACAGATGTCCTGCAGGAGAGCCCCACGGCCCCGCTGCTCCTCTCGGCTCAGCTTGGGCGGTTCCGTGTTCGCCTGGAGAGGAGCAGCAGCTCAGCACCTCCCCAGGACAGGAACAGCCCAGCTCCACATTCCCACCTCCCAGAGCACCCACCCCTGCCACAGCCAGCCTTCTCCAGGGGCAATTCCTCTGGCAAGTGGCCCCATGTGGGGACAGGCCAGCTCCCAGCCTACCTGACTGAGGGTGGGGGGCGGCGGGGGGCCGGGGGGCGGCGGCGGGGGAGGAGGGATCGGCATCCTGGCGGCTCCGGGGTCTCAGTGCTGGGGGCAGGCCTGGGCACTCATGCCTGCAGGAAGGGAGGAAGCGGTCAGGGAAAAGCCAGCAGTGAAACACAGCCCCGGGGAATTGTGCTGGTGCCGTGTCCCTGCAGAGCAGCAGCTGGAGCTGCTCTCCCAGGCTGTCCCAACACCCTGGAGCTGCAGGTGCCAGAGGTGGGAGCCAGCACATCCCCACCCCAAATCCCCAGGGCTCCCACAGCGCCTGCAGTCAAAACCCAGAATTGTCTCACACAACCACCTCGCCTGAGCAGACAAAACCCGGCCAGGCTGATCCTGCACCATCCATCCACCCAGCTCCTCCAGCTGCAGCCGGAGGCTGCTCACTTGGGAGTGTGACAGTAGCCCGCCAGCACTGGCACGTGGCCCCATGGCCTCTCCAGCCATGGCCAGGGCAAATCTGCCAGATGGCTCCAGCTCCACAGCAGCCAGAGCAGCACAGGACTGCCCTGTGGCTCCCTCCCATCCCTGAATTTCCCAAACTCTTGTCTCCTCCATCAATAACCCCCCAGCACTGAAGGCTCTCTGTGCCCCACAACTCCAAAGCCCCCTCGAAGCTGTCCAAGCAGTCAGGGAAACCAGCTTTGCCAGCACAGATGTGGCAATGCTCCAGCTCCTCAGAAGCCCAGAAGGAACCAGTCTGGCACCACGGCTCACCTGGAACAGCTCCCGGGGCTCCGCGGGGCCCAGCAGCTCTGGTCGGCACTGGAGATGGAGCACAGAGGGACTGGGGACAGGAAGGGGAGCCTGAATCACTGGGAAGTCACAGGCCCTCGTGCTGCTGACAGCAGAGCTCAGGTAGGGCCTCCCAGAGCACCGGCTCAGGGAATAGCAATGTGATGACTGGAGGCCTTGCTCACCACATGGAGAGTCCCAGCAGCTCAGGACAGACCCTGAGGCAGGGGACAAATGTCCCTCTCTGGGCCACAGATGTCCTTCCCACAGGAAAAAGCTATTCCACAATCACTAATGGGAACCATGCCACCAACAAGAGGAAAGGACAGGGCAGTTTCACACCTGAAACTCCCAATTTCCGAGCCCTGACCTCCAGGGCAGGTGACAGAGGGCACGGGAACAGCCCCCACTGCAGGGAAAGTTCCTTTATGACTCAGGTTTGTACCAGGTATTACCAACCAGATCCCTTCTCACACTCATCTCCTGCTAGATAAACTACAACTTCCTAATCCCACAGGACACAGGTCCATCCTCTGTCAGACATTCCCAGGGTGTGAGAACGGGAAGCAGGGAGCAGCAGCATGGCTGCCACAGCAGCAGCTCCCCTGCCCTCGGGCAAACCACTGGCTCTAGGGTTCAGGGAGATAAATAAATACCTAAACTGCCTTTTAATTAAAATCAGCTCTTCTAGCCTGTGAGAAGTCCTCAGCTACAGCTTCATCAGGAAGACATTCCTGCCTCTATCTCATGGCATTTTCCAAGTCCCTGAGGCCCCCAGCTCCCCAGTGCTCTCCCATAACAAACGTGCTGCTCCTTCTCCCCAGCCCGAGCTCGAGGCCTCCCAGCCAAATCTGAGATCCATCGATCCCTCCGGACACTCCAGTCAGGAACAACACCCAGCAAACCCATCCAGCCTCAGCCTTTCCCACTGGAGCAGGATCACAGACAGCTCTGAACGTGCTCGTCTGGGACGTGTTGGAACAGGAACACTTTTCCCTGTGCTCCTTCCCACCCGCAGTGGGATCACAGGGCCAGGGTGGCACGAGTGGCTCCGGGCAGAGCCCCAGCCATGCTGGATCAGCTGCCGGAGGGAATGAGCAGGGATCCAGCTGAGGAACACGCCAGGTAATGAGACTCCTGACTCGGTCTCGTGTGTCACAGCCCTGAGCCAGCACAGGAGTGATGCCAGGGCCACCACCTTCCGACCCACGGGAACGTCACGCATTGTGTCCCCGCTCTGCTCCTGTGCCAGCTGCTTACTCCCAGGGTGACACTTCCCTCCCTGGCCCCTGTGACAGCAATTCATCTCACAGACACACAAATAGGGATTTGTCAGCTGGCACAAACCATCCAGTGCCACCCGTGCCAGGCCAGCACTGCTGGGGTCTCTCAGTGTGACCTGCTGACACCCTGTGACAGGCTCCAGACAGACCACAGGGACAATCCACAGGGACAATCCACAGGGACCTGCAGGACAACGGGGGTATTTCTATAAACAGATCACGAGTCACTATCTCCCCTCTAAGGTGCCCTTACAGCAAAACCTGCGCTCGGATCCAGGCTCTGACCTAGAAGAGCGAGAGGAAAGGAGAGAAGAGTTTAAGCTAAAGCAGCTTGAGGATAAACTGGAGCTGAATTCCCAAGAAACAGGTCATTCCATTTCGGTGCACGGCCCCGTTCGGGCTGGGGATTAACAGCAAAGGTCACATTGAAAAACCAAAATCGAGAGGCCCCGAACTCAGCGCACGGCTGGGAAAAGCTCAGAGCTCCGGGTGGGAACGGTGCCTTTGAAATACAGCCTGGATCTTTCATGTGCAAGAAGACAGACCCAGCTGATACAGATTAGGGAGACAGGAGCTAAATCCTCCAGGAAAAGAAAAAAGGGGGGGAGTTCTCCTCCCAGCACCCCTTCATGCCTGGCAGAAGTTATCCCTGTGAACAACACTCAGACTTCTCTGCGCTCCTTCTCCTTTGTTCTTCCCTACCAGGACCTTTCCACCAAGACACATCAGAGCCTCTGAGGGCTGCACAAACTGTGGTGGCAGCTCCCAGGGAAAGCGGCTGAATCCAGAGACACTAGTGGATAAAAGCTGGGCTGAGGCAGGAGGGGCAGGTTTACACCGTGCCTTTGCTCTTCCAGTCCAAACCAAACCTCAGGAAAGCTCTGAGCAAAGCAGGAGGAAAACAAGGTGTGAAAAGCTGTCCCTTGGGAGGAGGGAGAGATCAGCAGATCGAGGTCACCCTGTGGAAAGCTGCTTCAGAGCTGCTGTTCCACTCGCTGGAGCCCACCATGGCCACAGACGCCTCGGCAGTGTTTTGGATCAGCACTTCCCTGTCAACCCTGGCATCAAAACATTACTAAACCCCAAGAACTTGACATTCAGATGCCCCTTGTCCCCTAAAAGAGGGATTGGGCAGATCCAGCCCTGCCTGGGAGACACGCCACGTTTTCCAGGCATTTTTCAAGTCCCTGTTTGCCGTGGAGGGAACTGAAACGCCCTCCCCAGCAGCAGCCCCCATCCCGCTCATCCCGGGGGGATTGCTGCTGGAGCAGGACAGGCAGCAGCAGTGACCTTCAGCCGCCTATTTCCTCGCTTTTCAGGGGGATTTGGGCTCCGGGCGGATTTGTATTTCACATTTGCAAGCCCGAGCTGCAGCGCCTCATCCTCAGGGAGGCTTTGAACTGCAGATCAAGAGGAATTTCCACCCTCTGATGTCGGTGCAGAAATGCGGCCGCACCGGTTTGGGAACGACTTCCAAGGCTGGACCTCTCCAGCACCCGCCCCCGCGCCTTTATCTTCCCTCTCTTCCCATCCAAACCCGCAGTTCCTCGTTACCCCCTCCCAAATTCCAACCCTGTCCTCCAGAGCAGCCTGACATTCCTGCCCGCTCCCGAGGAGCTGAGGATGCTACATAAATAATTTATCCTGAGCGACAGCCATCGCAGGATTTAAGGTCATTCAAGCTTTTAAAATCCTATCAGCATGCTTCCCGAGCTGAGCTGCCAGCTCCATTTGGAGCATCCCGGCGCATCCCTGCGTGCAGACAGACAGACACGCTCCGGCCCCGCGGGATCCAGACGCTCCCTGTGAATTATTAACGACCCGCGGGCTCTGACGAGGCGTTTTTAACAAAAAAACCCCGATCTCCGGAGTTTCTAATTCCTCAGGGATGAGCTCCACAGCCTCAGTTTCCCCATCCACACACAGCTTCCACAACTTCAGTTTCCCTCTCCATCTGCAACTTCCACATCCTCAGTTTTCCTCTGCACGGTTTCCCTGGCCTCAGTTTCCCATCCCCGGCCACAGAACCCCCAGCTCAGTCTGTCCCTTGCTCCCATCTCATCCCAGGTCGCTCAGCAGAGGAAACCTTTAATCAGGAGCAAGGCACCCCGTCCCGAAATTCCGCTGCAGCAAAAGGAAGAGCAGGAAAAGCCCGTCCTGCCAGGCCTCCCCTTTGCCGGAGAGGCAAAAGGAAGCCGGGAAGGGAGAGGTGGCACACGAGGGGCTGGGCAGGAACCGAGGGGCTGGGCAGGAAGCGCTGAATTATTCCAGCGGGAGGAAGCGGCAGGAGACGCGGGGACTTCCCGGTTCCTTCGAGGCGGAGCTGGGAATTCCGGGTGCAGCGATCCCCGCAGGCAGAGCGGGATCCCGCGGCGCTCCCGGGGCACCGGCACTGCCGTCCGTGCTGCACCGGGAGCGGGGAGCCCTGCATGTGTCCCCCTGGCAACTCAGCTCCGGCGCTGCCCGGAAAAGCTGTGCCTGCCCCATCCCTGGAAGCGTTCCAAGCTCGGATGGGGCTTGGAGCAACCCCTTCCAGTGGAAGATGGGATTTAAGGTCATTTCCAGCTCGAGTCATTCCGGGATTCCATGGAACTCCGTGTCCGTGGTCATCCCTAAGCCACCACAGGTTTCAAAAGGTCCTTCTGTACCCCAAATAAGGTCCCCCCCTGTCCTGACAGGACCCAGTGCTGATCCAAAACCCTTTCTGGTTCTGGGCACCCACAGGGTGGGGGTCCAGAGGGGTCCCGGGAGTCAGTGTGAGGGTCTCAGGGGTCATAGAGGGGGTCCAGGGGGATCCAGGGAAGGGCAGAGGGGTCCCAAGGGTCATGGGAGGGGTCCCAGGCAGACCCAGGGGTCACACCGGGGGTCCCCAGCCCCTGGTCCTGCTGGTTCTGGACAGCCCCAAGGGGGTCTTGGGGAGGGGACCCTGCAGTGACCCAGGAGTCAGGGGGGAGGGGTCAGTGGGGTCATGGTGGGGGTCTCAGAGGCCACAGGGGGAACCCCAGGGGACACTCTGGGGGCAGAGTCTCCATGCTGGGGGTCCCCATGGTGGGTCCCCAGGCTGGGGGTCCTAGGGGGGAGGAGGGGAAGGGTCCAGGGCTTCAATATGGGGGTCTCAGAGGGGTGCCAGGAGTCACAGTGGGGGTCCCAGGCCCCCAGCCCTGCCAGCTCTGGAGACCCTCAGTTTTGGGGTCCTGGGGAAGGGTCCCTGAAGTGACCCAGGGGTCAGGGCAGGGGTCTCAAGACAGTCCCAAAGGATACCCTGGGGTCAGGGTGGAGGTTTGAGACCCCTGGTTCCAGCCATCCCAAAGACAGGAGTCCAAGAAGGGGTAGAGAAGTCCAGGAGGTCAGTGTGGGGATCCCAGGGGTTCCAGGCCACTGGTCCTGCCAGTCCCAGGCACACCCAGGGTGGGGGCACAAGGAGAGTCCTGGGGAGGGATCCCACACCTAAATCAGGGGTCAGGGTGGAGGGGTCAAGGACAGGACGGGGGGCTCAGTGGAGATCCACGGGGGTCCTGGGGATGGCTACAAGAGGTCAGAGTGGGGGTCCCCATGGTGGCGGGGTCACAAGCCCCCAGACCCGCAGGTTCTGGGCACACCCAAGCTGGGGGTCCAGGGCAGTTCTGGGGCAGGGTCCCGGAGGTGGGAGATCCCACAGGCGGCCCAGGGTCCAGGGGGTCCGTGTGGGGGCTCCAGCCCCTCCGGTTCCTGTCACTCCACTGCCGGCCCCGCGGACCCCTCAGACCCTCAGCCGGCCCCGGGCACCCCCAGCCCCGCGCAGGCCTCAGCGCGCCCCCAGCCCCGCCGCTCCCAGGCTCCGCACAGGCCCCACGCGCCCACCCCAAGCCACCACACCCCACACGGGCGTCCCGCGGCCGCAGTGCCGCCCCCCCGAGCCCCGCTCGCCCCGGCCCGGCCCCGCCGGTCCCCCCCGGCCCTCCCCCGCTCACCCGCGGCTCCTCCCGCCGCTCCCGGCCCCGGCCCCAGCCCCGCCGAACGAAATGGCGGCCCTGGCCCCTCTGCGCCTGCGCCGCCCAACAGGATGTGGGCGGGGCACGGCGAGGCGGCGGCGCCATGATGAGGAGGTCGGGCGGCCATGAGGGAGGCGCCCATCACCGCCGTGCTGGGAAGGGCACGGCGGCTCCGTGAGCGCCCAGTGCCGCCGTGTCCCGGTGAGCGAAGGCAGAGCGGCACCACCGGGAAGAAATTCCCCGCTCTGCGCCGAAACGCTGCTGAAGGCCCGTGGTGCCCCGACGGAGCACGGCTGTGGCCCCCTGTCCCCCCCTGCCTCGTCCGCCATATTGAGGAGGTCGGCCATGTTGAGAGGGTGACGGAAACCTTTGCGGCCGCCATGTTTGGAAGGTCCAAGATAGCTCGGCGGTGCCGCCATCTTGGGAAGGTCGGCGCCACTCCGTCAGCGCCGGGACAGTGACGTCATCGACAGCTGGGCTGTGACGTCACTCCCCCATTACCTCAATCCTTAGCATGACGTCAGAGCCAGGTGAGAAACAACCATCCATCTATAGCAGACAGGTGCTGGGACAGACTTTTATTGGGGCTCCCCGCCCCGCCCCCAGCTTAATTTTTTTTTTCTTTTTTTTTTTTTTTTCTTTTTTTTCCTCCTTTTTCTTAAAAAATAAATGTACAATTCCGGACAGCGGCCGTACAAAATATACACGTCTGGGGGGGGGTGGGGAGGAGGGGAGCGGGCCACACATACAAAAATAGANNNNGCAGCACCCAAGGGCCGGGGCTGGGCAAAGTGCGTCAGTGCTGGGGGGCTCCGGGCCCCCCGGGGGGTGCCGGGGTTGGGGGTCCCGGGCCGGGCCCCCCCTCACTGGCTGCCGGGCTCCAGCTTGTAGGAGAGCTCGAAGAGCAGGTTCTGGTTGTCGATGACGCGCAGCTGCCGCACGTAGGCCTTGGTCTGCAGCTGGGCCGGGGACGCCTCCAGCTCCAGGCCTGGGAACGGGAACGGGGATGGAGGGATGGGGATGGGAGAGTGGGGATGGAGGGATGGGGATGGGAGAGTGGGAATGGAGGGGAACAGGGATGGAGGGATGGAGATGGGAATGTGCAGAGTGGGAATGGAGGGATGGGGATGGGAGAGTGGGGATGGAGGGATGGGGATGGAGAGGATGAAGAGATGGGGAGAGTGCAGAGTGGGAATGGAGAGGATGGGGATGGAGAGGATAGAGGGACGGGGATGGGAGAGTGGGGATGGAGAGGAACAGGGATGGAGGGGAGGGAATGGGAAAGGGCAGTGTGGGCATGGAGGGAATGGGGATGGGAGAGTGGGGATGGGGATGGAGGGGATGAAGGGATGGAGATGGGAAAGGGCAGGACGGGGATGGAGACAATGGGGATGGGAGAGTGGGAATGGAGGGGATGGGGATGGAGGGGATGGAGGGATGGGGATGGGAAAAGGCAGTGTGGGGATGGAGGGGAACAGGGATGGAGGAATGGGGATGGGAGAGTGGGAATGGAGGGGAACAGGGATGGAGGGATGGAGATGGGAATGTGCAGAGTGGGAATGGAGGGATGGGGATGGGAGAGTGGGGATGGAGGGATGGGGATGGGAGAGTGGGAATGGAGGGGAACAGGGATGGAGGGATGGAGATGGGAATGTGCAGAGTGGGAATGGAGGGATGGGGATGGGAGAGTGGGGATGGAGGGATGGGGATGGGAGAGTGGGAATGGAGGGGAACAGGGATGGAGGGATGGAGATGGGAATGTGCAGAGTGGGAATGGAGGGATGGGGATGGGAGAGTGGGGATGGAGGGATGGGGATGGGAGAGTGGGAATGGAGGGGAACAGGGATGGAGGGATGGAGATGGGAATGTGCAGAGTGGGAATGGAGGGATGGGGATGGGAGAGTGGGGATGGAGGGATGGGGATGGAGGAATGGGGATGGGAAAAGGCAGTGTGGGGATGGAGGGGAACGGGGATGGAGGGATGGGGATGGGAGAGTGGGAATGGAGGGATGGGGATGGGAGAGTGGGGATGGAGAGGAACAGGGATGGAGGGGAGGGGATGGGAAAGGGCAGTGTGGGCATGGAGGGGAATGGGGATGGGAGAGTGGGGATGGGGATGGAGGGGATGAAGGGATGGAGATGGGAAAGGGCAGGACGGGGATGGAGACAATGGGGATGGGAGAGTGGGAATGGAGGGGAGGAGGGGAACGGGGATGGAGGGATGGGGATGGGAAAAGGCAGGGTGGGGATGGAGGGGATCAGGGATGGAGGAATGGGGATGGGAGAGTGGGAATGGAGGGGATGGGGATGGAGGGGAACAGGGATGGAGGGATGGAGATGGGAATGGGTCACCTGGGGATGGAGGGATGGAGATGGGAATGGGCAGAGTGGGGATGGCGAGGATGGGGATGGAGGGGAGGCAGGGATGGAGGGATGGGGATAGGAGATGGGAGAGTGGGAATGGATGAGTGGGAATAGGGATGGAGGAAGAGGGATGGAAGGAGGGATGGAGATGGGAATGGGCAGAGTGGGGATGGCGAGGATGGGGATGGAGGGGAGGCAGGGATGGAGGGATGGGGATAGGAGATGGGAGAGTGGGAATGGATGAGTGGGAATAGGGATGGAGGAAGAGGGATGGAAGGAGGCAGGCATGGCAAGGCAGTGGTGGGGATGAGGGGATGGAGGGGATGTGGAAATGGAGGGGATGGAAGGGACGGAGGGGATGGAGGAAGGAAATGGGGATGGCAACATGAAAGTGGGGATTGAAGGATGGAAGAGATGCAGGGACAGGGATGGGGATGGAATGGCCACGTGGGAATGGGGATGTGGGGACAGGGGTGAAAGGATGGGGATTCAGGCATGCAGGGATTCAGGCATGCAGAGTGAAGGGACGAGGATGCAGGAATTTAGGGATTCGGGGATGCAGGGACGTGGACAAAGAGGTCTGAAGATGCTCTGGCCACGTCCCCATCCCTCAGGGCCAGCACTGCGGGTTCAGGGCTGTGTGGGGCTGCCCTGCAGTGCCCCCCTCACCCCAAAAGTGCCCCCCTCACCCCAAGAGTGCTTCTGCACACCCACCCACCCCTCAGGGACCCCCCTGGGTCCTGCTCTGCACCCAGGACTCCCCGAATCCTCCCACCCCCCAGAGAGGGGAGCCCCAAACCCTGGGGGAAGGGGGGGTCCTCCAGCCCCTCAGGGGAGCCCCCTCCCCCCTGCCCTCATCCTGGGGGTCCCTCTGCCCCATCCCCCCCTGGAACCCACCAGTTTCTCCACGTTGACCAGCCCGTCCAGGAGGGTTTTGCTGCCTTCATGCAGGAAGGTCAGATCTGGGGGAGAGAGGGGGGTCCCGTGGGGTGTCAGAGGGACCCCAACCCACCGAGGGGAAGCCCCTGAGACCCCCCCTCACCTTTGAGGATGAGAGGCACGAAGGGGATGAGCGGGGGCTTCATCTTGGCCAGCACCTCCCTGTAGGTCTTGTGGTTCCTGCAGGGGTCCTGGGGGGAAATGGGGTCGGGGTCAGGCTTTGGGGGGGCTCCCCAGGGATGCCCTGGATCCCCCCCATGCTGGTGGCCATGGGTATGGGGCTGGTGGCCCGGGGGAGAGGGGCAAGGACACCCCAGGACACCCTGGGACACCTCAGGAATGTCCCAGCACCCCAAACACCCCCAGGGGAGGCCTGGGGACCCCCCCCCAACAGCCACAGCAGCCCCCACACCTCTCACCCACCGTCAGGTTCTCAAACTTCCGAAAGAGATTCTTGAATTTCCCTGGGAGCTTCTGGAACACAAAAAAAATAGAGGGGAGAGGGTAGGAAGCATCCAGCAGGGCCAGAGAGCACCAAAGGGGGGGCAGGAGGTTCTGGGAGAGCCCAGGAAAGGCTCAGGAAGCATCTGACGGTGTCCAGAAAGGTCTGGGAGCACCCAGGGGTGCTCTGGGAGCACCCAGAGGGGGCCTGGCAGCACTGAGGTGGGGGTGAGAGGTGCTGGAGGGTTCCAGGAGCACTCAAAGCGGGGTCTGGAGGAACCCAGGAGAGGTCTGGGAGCAGCCAGGCGTGGGCATGAGCATCCCAAGGGTCCTGGGAGCACCTGGGCAGTGTCAGGGGGCACCCAGGGGTGCTCTGGGAGCACCCAGAGAATCCTGGGAGCATCCAGAGAAGTTCCAGGGGGGAAGGGAGCTCCTGGGGGGTTCTAAGAACACACAAGGAGGGTCTGGAAGAACCCAGGAGAGGTCTGGGAGCAGCCAGGTCCTATAGGACTCCCTACCCTCCCCAGGGACCCCCTGACCCCGAGGGAACCTTGCCCCACAGTGACCCCAGACCCCATAGCACTCCCTGCCCTCCCTGGGAACCCCTGACCCTGAGGAAACCTCAGGACCAAGCAAACCTTGTCCTATAAGTACCCCAGACCCTACAGGACTCCCTGCCTTCCCCAGGGACCCCCTGACCCACAGGGAACCTCAGCATTAGGGGAACCTTGTCCCAAAGGGACCCCAGACCCCACAGGACTCTGTGCTCTCCCCAGGGACCCCCTGACCTAGAGGGAATCTCAGGACCAAGCAAGCCTTGTCCTACAGGGACCCCAGACCCCACAGGACACTCTGCCCTCCCCAGGGACCCCCTGACCCTGAGGGAACCTCAGGACCTGTCCCACAGTGACCCCAGACCCCCTAGGACTCCGTGCTCTCCCCAGGGACCCCCTGACCCTGAGGGAACCTTGTCCCACAAGGACCCCAGACCCCATAGCACTCCCTGCCCTCCCAGGGACCCCCTGACCCAGAGGGAACCTCAGGACCTGTCCCACAGTGACCCCAGACCCCCTAGGACTGCTCTCCTCAGGAGCCCCTCTGTGTCTGACCCCCGGCCCCCCCGGAAAGGGTCGGGGAGCACCCGTGGGTGCTCGGAGGGGCGCAGGAGGCCGGGGGGCCGGGGCAGCCCAGCCTCACCTCCCAGGTGAGGCGCAGGCGGCTGACGGCGGCGTTGTTGAGGCCGATGACGATGGCGTAGAAGGAGAGCATGTCCTGGTTCTGCTTGCAGCTGGCGAGGGGGACACGGCGTGAGGGGGGGGCCGGGCGCCGCCGGGACCCCCTGGCAGCCCCCCCGTGCCCCCCTGGCTCACATGGCAGCGATCTTGATGAGCTTCTTGAGCAGGTGGGCGCGCTTGCCCAGCCCCTCGCAGAGCAGCAGCTCGGTGCCCACCCAGTGCTGCACCTCGCTGCAGCGCTGCAGCAGCAGCTCCAGGTTCGCCGTCTCGCGCCGGCCGCGCTCCCCGTGGAACACGTAATCCACGAATTCCAGCTGCGGGGACACAGAGTAGCAAACGGATTATTTGAATTTATTTTAATTTTGTTATTATTTATTTCTTGTTAAAATATTTATTTTACTATTATTATTTAATTATTTATCATATTTTATTACTATTTAATTTATATTAATTTTATTATTATTTAATTATTTATTAATAAATTATTTATTTAATTAATGTTATTTAGTTTTTTATCATATTTTATTACTATTCAATTTATATTAATTTTATTATCTAATTATTTATTAATAAATTATTTGTTTAAGTAATATTATTTAATTATTTATCATATTTTATTATTAACTTATTTTAATTTTATTACCATTTATTATTAAATTAATTCATTCTTTATTATTAAATTAATGTATTATCCATTATTAAATTATTTATTTATTATATTTTATTAGTATTTAATTTATTTTAATTTAATTATTATTTATTTATTATTAAATTATTTTATTATTTATTATTTAATTATTTATTTATTTATTATTATTTAATTATTTCTTATATTTTATTATTATTTAATTTATTTTAATTTTATTTATTTTAATCAGCTATTTTTTGACTGAAGTTGTTCCCTGCTGGAGAATGATTGGTGTTGAATGGTTGCAGAAGGCTGAGCAAATGTTTTGGTAGGCTATGCTGTACTGTACTACACTACTATTAAAAACTGTACCAAAGAAAAAATAGAAAACTATAAATAAATAAATAAATAAATTTTTATATTTATTTATATATATAAAACCAAAACTATACTAAAGGAAAAATATAAAATTATATAAAAATAAATAATTATAGATACAACTACAATATATATAAAACTATACTAATATATATATAACTATAAATAAATATATATTAAAAACTATATATATAAAATGATACTAAAAATATATAACTATATATAAATAGATATTAAACTATTATATATATAAAACTATACTAAAGAAAAAATGTATTTAAAACTATAAAGAATTATATATAAAATGATAATATATATAAAACTATACTAAAGAAAAAATAGAAAACTATAAATAAAACTATATATAATATATATAAAACTATACTAAAAATATATAAAACTATATAAAAATAAATAATTATATATACAATTATAATATATATAAAACTATACTAAAAATATATCTATAAAACTATAGATAAATAAATAAACCTATAATATATATTAATCTATACTAAAATATAAAACTATATTAAAATAAATATAAAAACTATAATATATATAAACTATGCTAAAGAAAAAATATATAAAAACTATAAACACATAAATAAATAAATAAATTTTTAAAACCTATAATGTATATTAAACTATTTTATATATATATATTTATATATATATTTTATATATTTATATATATGTAAATATATATAGTGGGCACAGGAGGAGGGTGGGCACAGCTATACCAAATTAAAAACGGACATCTTTACCCAACAGTCCGACACACACATGGCTCCAATTGGTCAAATGAGATAAAACCACTGCCACTAGAATCTAATTAACAAATCCCTTTTAGCAAACAGTCTCCGTAACACATTCCACACGTGCCAAACAGCAAGCGCAGAAATGGAGACAAGAATTGTTCTTCTTCTCTCCGTGAGCTTCCTCACAGCATCTCAGGAAAATCCTGAGTGAGAGAATTATGTGTTCCTCTGTTCAGGGAACATGTGAACGCCACGCGTGTCCCCGCGGGACCCCCCGAACCTCGTGGATGCAGCGGAAGAGCTCCCAGTGGAAGGCTGTCAGGTGGTTGGCCACGTCCTCGGGCTCGGCCCGGTGGATCTCGGTGTCCCCCGGCACCACCTGGATCTCCTCGGGCAGCGGCACCTGCCAGGGGACAGCGGACGGGCTCAGGGCTGGCAGGGTCCCCGCGGTCCCCCCGCTCTGGCCGTGCCCGGTGTCGGGGTGTCCCCGCCCGGTGTCGGGGCTCACCAGGGAGTCCAGGGTGTCCCTGGTGCAGGCGAAGAGGTGGCTGTTGATGCCCAGGGTGGTGAACACGCACTCCTCGCTGGGCTGCAGCACCGCTTTCTCTGCCGGGGGGGCACGGGCTGGGGTCAGCACCCCCTGCGGACCCCCCAGCCCTGCCCGCAGCCCCCCCAGCCCCCGGGCACCTCCGGACGAGGCCATGGTGACGAGGATGAGGGCGTCCCCGCGGGCGCTCTGCTCCTCCGAGTACTGCAGCTTCTCGGTGACCGAGGCCAGGATGTCCTGCACCGAGGCCGAGAGGCGGCTGCGGATGGTCACGTACGAGTGGTCGGGCATGTACACGCGGCAGAAAACTGGGGAGAGGGCGGGGGGTCAGCGCCGGGCACCCCCGCACCACCCCGGGCACTGCCCACCGGGGAAACTGAGGCACGGAGCGGCCACGGAGAGGATACAGCCCCATACAGTGGCTGGCGGGTCACGGAGGGGACCCCCGTGCCACCTCAGGTCCCCCCAAGGTCACTCACTCTCGTCAGAACCCCGGAATGCCACGCGGGTCTGCAGGCAGGAGTCGATGCGTCGGAAATGCCGGAACAGCGGCTTCACCTGCTTGTTCGGGGGAGGGGTCTCGTCGGCCACCCTGGGGGGCACAGCACAGGGCTCAGGCAGGGCCCCGGACCCCGGGGCTGCACCCCGAGACCCGCGGGGTGGGCACAGGAGGAGGGTGGGCACAGGAGGAGGGTGGGCACAGGAGGAGGGGTCCAAGGCTGCGCATGGCGAGGGCACAAGGGGGGCACAGAGTTGGATGTGAAGGTGCCACCAGGAGGGCACCAGGGTGGGTGGCCCTGGGCACCCCCAAGGGCCACAACTCCTTGTCCTTCCTGGGAACTCCCTGACCCACAGGGACCCCCAGGACCCTCTGCCCTCCCCAGGGACCTCCTGACCCAGAGGGAACCTCAGAACCAAGCAAACCTTGCTCCACAGGGACCCTAGACCCCATAGGACTCCCTGCTCTCCCTGGGAACCCCTGGGTGGGTGACCCCTGATCCTCCCAGAGACCCCTGACCCCCAGGACCCCCTGACCCCCTTCTCACTTGAGCTCCACAGTCTCCACGAGCTGGTGCAGCTTGATGATCTCGTCCTCCAGCTCGTGGTACAGCGACGTGTCCTTCATGATGAGCAGGTAAAGCTCCTGTGGGGCGACAGCGCTCAGGGCCGGGACCCCCGAGACCGAGATGGGGGGGCCACACGGGGAGGGGACACCCACCTTGATGACCTTCCCGGCGCTCTCCTCCTCCTGCAGCAGCCCCTTGTAGGTCTCGAGGAAGTGCAGCAGCACGGCCAGCACCGCCCGCTTGCGCCGCAGCCCCGCGCCCTCCTCCCAGCGCGCCGGGGGGCTGCCCGCCGCCAGCACGAAGGTGCCACTGTCAAGGAGGTGCCACGGCAAGGAGGGACCCTCGGCCACCCCCGCCACACCGAGGGACCTCACTGAGGGTCGAAGTGCCCTCCCTGGTGGCAGCACACTGCCCACCTTGCCCCCAGACTCATAGCCCACCCTCGTGGCACCCCAATCCCTTTCTTGCTGCTCATGTGAGCATCCCCACAGCACCCCTGCTGCCCTCCCCTTGTCCCCCTTCTCCTTGCAACCCCCATGCCCACTGTTTTGTCACCCTCGTGGCCACCCTTGTGCCAGCTCCACGGCACCCTGGTGCCCGTGCTGGTGCCCTCCTGGCTGCACACTCATGCCAGCTCTTGTGCCACCACCATGTTCCCTTCATGGCCTCGTTATGCCCACCCTCACTGCACCCCAATACCCTCCTCATGCCCATCCCCAGACCACTCCTGCCCCACTCAGCCTCCCCACTGCACCCACCCCATTCACAGCGCCCTTGTTCCCACCCTCACTGCACCCCAGTGCCCCCCTCGTGCCCACCCCCGCGGCCCCCCAGGATATTGCTGGTGCAGCTGCTGCAGGAAGCGCTCGGTGGGCAGGAACAGCGAGTGGGTGAGCACGATGTCATCCAGCAGCGACTCTGGGGGGACACGCATGGTCACACCCCCCCAAAAAGCCCCCCGACACCCCCCTCCATGCCCGGCGGGGTGTCTGGGTGAGGGGAGCGGCGGTAACTCGCAGGGTGACACCGGGAGCGGCCCCACGCGAACCCCCCCGCGCCGGCGCTGACTCAGGGCCCGCTCCCAGCCCCGGGGCAAGCGGGCCCGGCCGAGCCGGTGTGGGGGCAGAGGCGCCGGCAGGGCGGGACCGGGGCCGCGACGCCCCGGCACACCCGGGAGCCCCGTGAGAGCCCGGCCGCGGGCACAGCAGGACACGGCCCAGGGAAACTGAGGCAGGCAGCACCGGGCGGGTGCCACAGCCGGGCTCCGTGGGGCAGCACGGGTGGCACCGCCCTGTGAAGGTGTTTTGGCGAGGCCAGGTGAGCCGAGGGCCCGGTGCCGGCGTCTGTGCCCGTCAGAGCTGGCATCAGCTGTGACCTTTGGACGGGGCACCGCTCCCTCGCCCGGCACCAGCACAGCCCCCGTGCCCCGGGGGTCCTGTGGTGGGACCCCAGAGCCCATCCAAGGCCCAGGGAGCTGATCCACGGAGGGGCCGTGCAGAGCATCCCCCCAGGCACTGCCCAGTCCGTTAACCCGGCCACGCAGCAGCGCCAGGCCAGGACAGAGGATCCCCTGACGCTCCCGCGCCGGGCACGGCGCCCAGGGGGCATCAGCTGCTGCTGAAAGCAGGACAGGCAGTCTGGGGCACAGGGACAGGCAGGGGCACGGCAGCACGGGGGGTGCAGGTGCACAGCCCCCCACTCCCCCAGCCCCCTGCCCTGAATGCAGCCCCCTCTCCAGGTTCTGCCTGTGGGGCAGGAGCTGAACACTCCCCCCATCCCTGCCTCAGTTTCCCCACCCCTCTGCAGCACTCACGCTGTACCCCAGACTCACAGGGATGTTTCCCCGTGTTGGGACCCCCGAGCTGGCTCCTGCCCCCCTGCTCCCTGCCAGCCCGGGCACCACCAGGCCTGGCAGCGTGCTTGTGCAGGCAGGACCTGGCGCTGCCAGTCCCAGCTCGCCCCTACCCGAGGGCTCCTCTTGGTGGTTGCACCCAACCCCGGCCCTGGCATCACTAGAGCAGGGGGCTGGCAGCGGCCTGGGGTCCCCGACGCCCTCTGATCGCGGCAGCCGAGGGGGATTGGCCGGGACAGGGATCCCCGCGGTGTGGGAAGGCTCCCACCCACCTGCAGCCAGCCTGGCTCCCGCCCAGCCCTGACACCGAAACCACCCCTGGGCACGGGCAGCCACGGTGGGACAGCACCGGGAGGCCTGTGCCAGGGAAAGGGGCACCCAGCCGGCCCCCCCTGCACTGCAGCTCCCGTCGGGGCTAATTTTAGCACCAGGAGGATGTTGAGGACCATCCAAGCGGGAGGTGGATGCTGCAGTGACTGCCGGTGCCCGGCCACCCGCGGCCCCCACCGAGCTGGCGCTGCCACTGAGCCCGCATCCCCCTGCCCGCCCCTCCGCCGTGCTCTGCTGCCCACCCCACAGATCCCTGCCCACCCCATGCCACAGAGCCCTGCCCCGGCGGGGACCCCGCTTTGACCTTGTCACCCCAACCGGGCGCCGCTGTGCCCTGTGCAGGACCACCCGCCTCACCGGGCACCAGTGTCGCCCACCCCGCTGTCCCCCTGCCCAGCATCCCCCGGCGCGTCCCCTCCGCAAGCAGCGGCCGCCCCCGGCCCCGGTTTCTCCGCGCTCCGCCGCACCGCCCGCGATCCCGGCGCTCCCCGCAGCCCGTCCCGGCGCTCCCGCAGCCCCGTACCTGCCCCGCAGCCCCTCCCGTGTGCAGCCGCCGGCAGTCGGTCGAGGAGCGCGGCCAGGAGCCGCTCGGGGGGCGCGGGCGCGGCGGGGGCGCAGCCGCAGCCGCAGCAGCACCGGGCGGCGGGCGGCGGCTCCGGGCTCGGCGGCTCCCGCTCCCGGTCCCGATCGCGGTCGCAGCCCGGTGACGGGTCCTCGGGAGAGCGGAGCGGCGCCTCGGGCGGCCGTAGCTCCAGCCAGCGGCCCTCGCCCCCCGGTACCGGCCCCGCGGGCCCCGCCGGCTCCTCGGGGGAGGCGGGCGGGCGCGACAGGCTCTGCCGCCGCGGCGCCGCCACCGACCCCGGCCCCGGTACCTGCCCCGGGGGGGCGGCGGGGCGGACGGGCAGGTGCGATCCCGGCTTCTTCAGCAACTTCTCCAGCGGCTTCATGGCCGCCCGGGCGCGGCGGCGGCGGCGGCTCAGGGGCCCATCGGCGGCGGTGGCGGCTCCGTTCGGCTCCGCTCGGGCTCGGGCCGGCTGCGGTGACACCGGCTCGCACCGGGACACGGTCCAACCCCCCACCGCAGCCCCGCACAGGTGATGCGTTACGCACCCCCGCACCAACCTCCCCGCATTCCCCTGTCGCATCCCCGGGGTGCCACCACGCTCCCCCCTACACACAGCGGACAGCCTGGGGGACACAGCGCAGAGCCTGTCACACACCGCGACCGGGGGGCACAGCCCCACAGCCCCTGCCCCACACCCCCGGCACATCCCCGGTTCCCCCCCGCGCACCCACACAGTTCCCCATGCCAGCCCAGGGGCACATGGCACCGCTCCTCCCCAGTGTCCCCTGCACGGGGGGCACATCCCCACTGTGGGGTGAGCCACCCCCCGACCCCCAGCCCAGCTCTCTGCACCCGCCGCAGCGTGGGAAAAGGCCGGGGGTGGGTGCGAGATCCCCCAGCCTGGCAGCCCTGGGGCTGGGATGCCCCGCGGGCAGGGTGGGCAGCTCGGGGTGGCTGCCAGACCCCCCCACTTCCGCCGCCTGCCAGGCTGGAATGGGCCCCGGCGTGCCGGGGCAGGTGCCGGGGCAGGTTCTGGGGCAGGGCAGGGCCAGATGTGGCGCTCGCCTGGGGCTGATCCTCCTGCCCCATGAGCACCCATCCTGCCCGTGCCCGCTGCCCCCAGCCCCACCTCGCACCCTCTGGGCGGGCCAGCAGGTGCCAGTCCCCTTCTCCGGCTCCATCCCCCTGCAAAACCACGGCCCTGCGGCTGGGATGGCGGCAGCGGCCGGGGGGACACAGCAAGTGACCCCCTGGCCTTTGCTGGGCCCCACTGCCCAGGGCGTTCGGGTAGAGATGGAGGAGCGAGGGTCCCGGCCGTTCCCGCTTTGTTCCCGCTTCGCCTCCACCCGGCAGTTGCCTGGCAACTCCATCCGTGCGGCTGCCACAGAGCAGCAAAACACGTCCCCACATCCATCCCCATCCCCGGCTGCAGGAGGTCCTGTCGGGATGGCACGGCACGGCCCGGCCCGGCACGCCCCTCCTCTGTTCCTCCAGCCTGCAGAAACCCCACAGCCCATCCAACACCCCCAAAAAATCCCACTCTGCTGAGCTCCTCCATCCCCTTTCCCCACAGCACCAGCACAAGGGTTCTCAGATGTGGGTGCAAGCGCTGCTGCTGGCCAGGTTCAGCCACGCAGAGAGGGGCTTCTCCTGACAGCAGGAGGGGAAACTGAGGCACAGAGAGACCCCCAAAACCCCGCTCACTGGTGGCAATGGGGATGCACTGTGCCACACGAGCAGGAGGCACCTGGAGCACTGTGCCACGCTGAGGGCAACGCTCCCCCTGGGAAAGGTGCTCCAGATCTGGCCTGTCCCATCCCCTCTCCCCCTGTCAGCAGGGATGGGGGCACTGCTGGTGCAGAGCGAACTATTGGCTTAATTAATTTTCTGTTATTTCTCCTAACGAGCTGGGATCCGGAGCGGGCGCTTCCCTCGGTTGGCAGGCAGCGCATTCCCCCGCCCCGGCAGCGAGCCGGGGGTGCGAAGCCTCCAGGCACTGCTCAAAACAGACCGTGTGTAGGAGGGAAAAATTACACCCCGGGAAAAATCCCTCTCCAAGCCAGCGCCTTAACCCACTTCCCAGCTGCAGCGCTGGGAGAAGGGAGTCAGGCACTTGGGGAAGGGGAGAACCACCATGAGGTTGGGGCAGCTCCTCCATGAGGTCCCTGTGAAGGGCTGAGCCAAATCCTGCTCTGCTCAGACCTGATCCTGCTGCCAGGGAGGGAAACTGAGGCAGTGGCACTGGGGAGGGATGGGGTAGTACAGCAATGTGGGCAGGAAGCTGATGCCTGCTGCTGCTGCTGCTGTTGGAACTGCTGTGGGACTGCCAGAAATGAGAGCAGAAACTGGGGAGAACTGAAGGGAGGAAAAAGGGGGTGCAAAGGAGGGATTTGGGGTCCCCCTGCCACTCACAGCCACCCTTCCACCACGGCACAGGCAGGGCCCAGCAGCATCCTTCCCCTGCCAAGCCTGCCTGCAGCAGGGCACAGCTCACTGTGATGCTCCTTCCACAGGATCAGGGTGTAACAGGAGTGGGGTGTGCCCCCACCTCTCTTGGGTGTGGGAGGGGGCTGGCAGGAGGCTGCCGAGGCGGAGGCGGCGCGGCACAAACGCGCGGGCGGCAGCTCCTGCACCACCAACACAACAGTTGGTGCTTCCCCGTGAGCCAGGGAGGCTGGGGGAGAGGAGGGGGCTCTCATCAGCCCCCCAGACAGCCAAGGGGCTCCCTCCAGCCCCGCTGCTGGGGCAGAGCTGGGCTGGGGACGGGTGGCAGCTGCTGTCAGGGATGTGGGGGTGAGGGCGGCTGGTGCCAGGCACAGCAGAGCTGCAATTTCAGTCCCACTGTGAGCTCCTGAGAAGGGCAGAGCTGTACCTAGGAAGAGCAGAGTGGCTCCTGGGAAGGGAGAATGGCAGTTCCTGGGAGACAGCAGAGGTGGCACTGCTCCTGCCAGGGAAGCTCAGGTGGATGCTGTCCCTGTGGGTGTCAGCCCCAGGAAGGACACACAAGAGCTGTCTGCTTCCTACAACACTGCTAGGGATGTGCATCCCACAGGATAGAGATACAAATAACACCAAAACCCTGGGATGGAGGTGTAAGGTCCAGGATTTCAGTTGTGTGACCAATGCATCAATGACATATAAAACATGAGGGGATTTTGCTTTGGTGGCTGAAACAAGACACAAAAGGTCATGGAGTCACAAACATCACACAAAGAAGGAATTTCTGCTGGAGAGCAAGGCATGGATGAGGGATCCACAGAGAGAATGAGCAGGTGGGTGCTGGCCACAGATGGGGACGGGGTGGCCGAGCCACCTCTCGCTCGGTGCCGTCCCCCTCAGGCAGTGCCCGCAGCTGGCACGTCCCCACGGCGTCCCGGCACGTGCTCAGGAGAGCAGCAGGAACCGGCAGGAACGGGCAGGAATCAGCAGCCGGCCCTGCCAAGTTTCCCAACGCAATTTGCAAACGGCTGCGAGGCCGTGGCCAAGCCGGGGCCGGAGCGGCGGGGCCGCTGGAACGCGGGATGCAGAGCGGCAGCACTGCGGCACACCAGAGCCAGCCGGGAGCAGCGTGGCACTGCTGCGGTGACAGTCACCCCATGGCGTCAGGAATCCCAAAGGGGACGCAAGGCTGCTGTGAGGCAGGGAGGCAGGAGCTGGAGTAGGGCTGAGGCGCTTCCTTGTGAGGCCGGAGCCCAGCCCGGTGTGTTGGGGCGGGTTCCAACACCCTCCGCAGCCCCAGCAGCAACACCCAAGTGCTGGGAGCAAACCTGGCCCTGCCGAGCTGGTTTGGGTGCTGGCTGGGCTGCTCGGGCAGCGTCGGGGTGCTGAGTGCCCACAAACCTCCGCCTCTCTCTGAGGGAGGGTGGAAACATCCCCTTGTGCGGCTGGGGGTGGCAGGGATGGGGGTCACTCTGTGGATTCCCCCCTGAGAGCTCACACACACCAGTTACCAACAGTTTGTTGGGAAAAAAGTCAGTAGGAGCTCCTTAGTTAAGGGGTTGCTGCCCAGGCAGTGCATTCCTGACAGCTTCCCATGGTTCCACTGCTCTTCCCCTGCTCCAGAAGCAGCAGAAATCAACTTGCTAATTGAAAAGAGGATTGAAAAGAAGAATGAACTGGGGTGGGGGGGATGTCATTGCTGCTTACCCAAACAAATAAAAAACAAAATACCCAAAAGAAACAAATCAGCTTTACTGAAGGAGCTGCTTCATTCCTTAAATAAAAACAGAGACCACGATCAAGCCAGCGGAGTTTGACATCCCAGGAGGGAGCAGGGAACGTTTAGTAAGGGGGAGAAGTTGGGAGCAGTGGCCAAGGACCGACTCAGGGGTTGGTTCTTTGGCGGCCCCAGCACGGGGGAGAAGGGGGGTGGGCAGCAGCGAGATGGATTTTGGGAAGGCACCACTCAGGCCACGGGGGAAGTGCCTGGTCCTGAGCACAGTGCAGGTGGCTCATCCAGCTGCCTCACCTCCACACAGGGAAGGAGCCATTCCAAGGAGCAGCTTCCTCCTTGCCCAGGGGCCGAGTCTGGTGCTGGGATTACTGTGGCCGTGTCCCTACGTGTTGCTCCTCTCCTTTGATTTTTCACCTTTGCTGTCCTGGGAGGGGGGAAAAGAGGGAAGAGCAGCAGAGGTTTAGGGCCCCCCAAACCCCTGCATGGGGGGAACAGTGTTATGGCTGGGTCTTGCCAGCAAGACCCCACCCCGCTTGGCAGCCCCCCACACCCTCCTCTCTGGGCACAACCAGTCCCCTGTGCCAACCTCTCCTCATGGTTCCAGATTTTTCCACCACGAGGCCTTTCCAGAGCCCCTCCATCAGACAATTTGCTTCTCAGCCCTCCCCACGTACAGGAACCCACCAGCACATGCCTGCCCGGGTCTGGGCTTGCTTGGCTCCCATACATGAAGGAGGTATGGAAAGGGAAACCAAAAACACACATGGCATTCCAGCACGCTCACACATGCACAGCTCACAGCACTGGAGCAAGGAGATCATTCCCAGCACAGGGAAGCATCCTGAAAAACCTTTAACTCTACTGCCTGAATTATCTGCTGAGTTCTCAGTGTTTATCCTTCCAGAGAACTCCCTGTCTCCTAGCTCCTCCAGCCAGGGCTGGATTTTTCCCTCTCAAAATTGTCCTCTTTTCTACCCTGAGCAAATAAAATAAAAAAGAGTCAACTTCAGACTTACTTTTCATGTGGTTTTAGTTTTAAAGATTTAAGTAACTCAAATTAACTGGAGCCCTGCTTACCACCTGCAACGAGAAGCTGAGGTTTGGGACAGGTCAGAGATGAGACAGTTTAAGATTTCCCCTTACAAAAGAACAACGTTATTTTTTTTGGGATGGGAGAGGGAACTGCAGCCTCACACACACACACACACCAGTGACATCACACACACAAGGACCAAAGGTGAGGGGATGGTACCTCTGGAGGGGGTGGCTTGATGGTCACAGGCTGGGA